GGCTATTAGACTTCAGCCTCCTTTACAGTCTAGGTTCATCAATTATATCTCGGTAGGAAAAGATTCAGCATTCCAATACGATTATCCAGTTACCTCCAGCTGATGGAAATTGAATGATATTTCTACATAGGTTTCACGTTCAGTCTGCGTTCACCGCTGATTCGAGCCTACTAATCTAGAGTACTAAGTAAACGGTAGCAAGCCGTGGAACCTCGATTACTCGCATTATACCTGAACCTATCCAGCCTATAATCAACGCACAAAGTGCCAATCAAATCGTAACGAACACGCACAACCCCTAAAATTACCAAACAATTGCATTAAGTAGGGCAAACGTGTCCCACGACTGATTCTAGGCAAAACGTTGCTTCTTTCCTCGAAGGAAAAAGTTAGCGGAGGTGGATGTGTTACGAGATGTCAAGATAGGTGGGGTTTCCGTTGGAGAACCGGCCGAATCAGAGAGAAAGAGAGACGGGAATACACTATTATCTAGTCATTAGCGTTACTAAATATTTTCATTCAACGTGAAATTCTTTATTGTAATTATTTTCGAGCAATTTGGCAGCATAGCGACAGTCATTCTGTTAACACGTCGACGCTTACCTTGAAATCGGTGGTGAACGACAGAAACAATATTTTCCTTTTGTTAATTAGTTGTTTCTTTGGGAGTTCGATCAAAATTTCAGGCTATAGACGGCATTGTGCATAAGATTTTCTAATTCTACACATCGAATCAAGCGATGACTGAGAATCACCTCCGAGTGCGAAGGGTTAGAGGGGGTTGAGGGTGGAAAGGAGAGGCGAAAAGGAGCCCGTTGCCTCGTTACAGCGCTTCGGCCGCGTGCTACTCAAGGTTGACCGAACTATAGGAGAGAGTCTCTCCTTCGGCCGCTTCCAACTGGCCCTCCGGAGTCCTCCGCGTAGTGCCGGCTACACGGACCCGTTATGCTGCTACGCCGTCGCCGCAAGAATGCCGCCGAGCCGGCCCCTTCTTCTGCGACTCGCGTTATACCGATCCCCTGAGTCGATCCCCGATCCTCTGGAACCACGCGCTTCCTTCTTCCCGTTGTTACGTAGTGGATCGTCGACGATCACCGAAATTCCAGTGCTACTCGCCAAAGGGTGACGCGTGTTTCCACGATCCCAAAGGGGTGGAATAATAATAATTGAGACGACTCGATCCGATTTCCGTATTTTCAATTGTTTTCGGTGGTGCAGAATGTCTTCCAAATCACAAGCCCATCTTCCGGAATGCGGAGGTTCGATGGTTCATATTTTAAAGAAGCAAATCCGAAATGTTCATACCGACGACTCGAATGTCCGCTAGTTTCACGCGTGCCGCGTCGTATTTCAGTTCGAACGAAATCCCTTACATCCCCGATGAAAGGTAATCGATTTCGCGTGGGATGTCTCTATAGAACGTTCACTAAAATACGAATCACGAAAGGAGCAAAAGGGCCTCGAACCATACCCAACGCGTTCCGCTGTGTCCATTCGAGCGTGGCCGAGTCCATCGAGAGGCTTTTCGCTCGCGCGATAAAACGTGGTCCCCGGCGTCGGAATAAGGACATTTCGTATGCAGCAACCGGACGGAGCGGTTCGATGTCAGCCAAGACCGATTGCTACCTTTCTACGAGCGTCTCGCGCTGTAGAAGGCCGCGTATCGTTCACCGAAAGATCGTAGGAGGCGTGTGAGTGGCCAGGTGAGAAAGAGAGAGGTGTAACGCGCGAGTCGTGATGTCACCAGGCTCCGTCTCTTATGAATCGTTCTTCTTCTTAAGGCGAACCGAACCCGCCGCCTTCTGCGGCGATGCATCATCCTCCGATTCATCCGGTTTTTCTGCACTTTTCTTCTGGGAACTTTGTTTGGTAACCTGCCGGCTTAATGAACACTTGGATTATTGAAAGCTTAGGTCATTGGAAACTCGGGTTATCGCGAGCTTACGTTTCTGAAAAGTAGAATTACCGAAAGCCTCGATTATCGAACACTTCGGCTACAGGAAATTTAGATTACCGAAGGTTTTGACTACTGAACACTTCGATTATAGGAAACTTAAGCTACTTAGATCACTGAATGCTTCGATCACTAACAATTTACCATTGTTCTACTATTATTTTCTATTAGAAATTTCACGAATCTCAAGGTAATCCCAATTCGTCACTTCTCGATCATTCTTCGATCAGCAGATTCAAAGATTCGATCTTTGGCTACCGAGGGTAGTCTGTCTTATTAGTAGCTGATTAAAACAATTGAAAACTATTTCCGAAGCGTTCTAAACAGTCCATTCGCGCGTGTTACGCGCCCGCACCGGTGTGCGCGGCTCAGCTTTGCACGCTTTCTCTCGAACTTTCTACACGGTCGTCTAAGCAACGGGAGGGACGGACACGGTCAGAAGCGGAGGGCCGCGTAACACCGCACGGCGCGTGACACGCGCGATACTCTATTTTCTATTCGCATCTAATTCCGTCGGACCAGACGCGAAACAGAGAGGAACCGGGGGCTGGGAAGTCGAGTCGGGCTCAGCCGGCCCAAGGTGTGCTCACCGCTGAGTCCAATCGCCGCTCGGAACCTAGAGTTCACGCAGTTCAATCGGATTTTCTCACATGCCGGATCGAGCGAGAAATAATTACCAATTATTTTAAACTTCGAAATTGCTGCCAGAAGAATTTTCCTTTTCATAGCGTTTTCGTATTGTAATAGTTATTAAAATGGAATGTCAGGTCGAAGGAAACGAGCACGCAACGCGAATCCTTATCACGATCGAAAGTGAATAACATCGAGCGTCGAAAATGTTCATTCTTTTCTCTGTAGATCAATATGCAGATTTCCTAAGAATTATTCGTACGAGAACTTAATACGTTCAATTCGACGGTGCATCGAGGAAGAATGTTGATCGTAGTGCACGCCTCGAATTCCGTATAATTCGAATAATATACCGTAGATTCTTATTCACGCGAAAATTGGGGGGTTTCAATGGAAACACTGTTCTCCGACAGTTCCCCTCAAACGAGATATTCTCCGCTGTTTTAGCATGGACAAGTGGGTATTTGATACGACTACTCTCGGAAGATTTCAGGCGCATTAACCGTGAACCTTTCGCTTTCCTGCCAATTCTTATCACCGGATCACAGAGCAATAGGAAAATGGAATGTGAACTATCCAACGCGACTTCAATTGTCATGAAATTCGACGAGTAATCGCTATCGATAGCACATAATCACTGACTCCGATCGACTCTCAACTCTTTCTATTTCAAATAAACTCTCAAATCGAGTTAATCGATCTAAAACCAATCATCGATCGCGTTGTACACCGTGCCAACCTCCGCTCACACGCGACGTTAAAAGTAACGTTATGTCAGCGTTGCGATATCCTTGAAACGAGACCAATGTTGTCGACTCCAGGCAGGCGATCATTGACGCAAGAACAAAATAGAATATTAGTAAAAAGCGTGAGTAGTGGTTCGATTGGTCGAGCGAGCGAGCGACGGAGCGAGCGAGCAAGGTGTGTTGCAATTCCCGCCGCTGGTTTTCGCTCCGATCCAGAAGACGACACCCACATGCCATTGCTTCCATTACCATATGGGGAGATCCCCGCGCGGTCTTTGGTTTCCCCGCGTGGCACCGCGTGTGTCTCGCAGTCACCGGTCGTCTCCGTGGACCGTCAGTTCGGTAGATCGCGGCTCGCCGGTGGTGTTCGCTCGTCGAGGAAGCCCGGCCGGTCGTTGCTTCGCGAGTTCGTTAGTAGAATCTCGCTGGTTCTCGCTAGACGCGCGTTCTCTTTCCTCCCGTCCGCCTGTCCGTTCGTCCGCATGTTCCCCGTTCGATACGTTTAAACCCGAGCGAAACTGGATCCGATCGTAGCTTGTTCGAAAAGCTAATTAACCCTTTGATTGTCGATTGAAACGATCCGGAATGCTCTGAAATCGATCGCACGAGGATTACGTATCGAAGAGTAGACGAAGATGCTAGATTCCGTGTCGAATCAGAAGCAGATTTCTTTAGACTCGCAGTGTGTAGTTTTCTGTCTAATTTTTCACTCATCGACGCTTCTCAGCAAGCTTTAGAGTTCTACTAGTAGCACTTTTGTCTATCGAAGAAAGACACGAGAATGTTCCTCGGTTGAAAGATAGGCGCCTAAAGTTTGATCATTTCTAAAATTCTTCCACTGGCAGTCGGACAGAGAAACATCCGAGCGTTCCGCCTGCGGCATAGGCGCCTAGCGTTAAGGGGTTAATCGCCGGTCTCCTCGGAGCCCTCCTCTTCGGACGCGGCTCCCGAGAATTGGCCCCGGCTAGGCCTAGACGGTCGTCGTCGTTTTCTTCGTCTCCCGCGTCCGCACACGGTCGCGCGAGCGCACGGATATAGATATACTCGGACACGGTCTTTCTCCCTCTTTCTCGTCGGGTTAGGCCTATCCCGGGGCAAAGGGTGAGCAGCTCTAGCCCGTCAGCGGAAAAGACCGATCGGCGGCCGTGGTGGTTCACTTTCCCGGCCGCAGGAACGGCGAGCGGTCGCGCGCACGCCGCGGTGATAAATTCGGTCGTTGATTCGTTAAGGTTCGCGAGCGAGCGTGTCTGGAGCCTGACGGACGAACGGACGAAAGGAACCGACAGGGGGGACACGAAATTAGCCGTTCCTCTTCTTCCTCCGCGTTCGTCGCTCTTGTCGTTACGTCGCATTGTCCGCGCGTGTAGCGACCCTGCTCGGTCGCGACAACGGTTTTCGCCGGTTTCCCTTTCCCTTCAAGCCGAACAACCGTTTTCCCTTTCTTCCGCGTCGAGCTTTGACCATTGTCAGTGTTCCCCGAGACGAATCTCCGCGATTCCCTTCCGCGCGACGGATTCTCACGATTTTTCTATCTCTCGCGACGAGTTTGCGCGGTCCCCCTTGTTCCGGTTGCCTTGAACTTTCGCGATTTTCCTGTCTCTGTATTTCCGCGATATCCTTCTCCCGACCGTCGGCTCTCGATCGATCGTTTATTTCTCTTGTACCGGCAGTGGAACGCGCGTCGACCAGCCTCGACGAAAAGAAACGAGAGTCCGAGGTGTAGACAAGATTAAACGAAGGATCATCGACCGTTTCGAGATCGAATCGTCATCGAAGCTTCCGAAAGGGACGAGTGGACTGCTCGACTCGATGTGCCATATATCGAAACCGATCCTCACGAACGCATAACACGAAATAACGACGGTGAACCGTATATATCGCTCCGCGAAATAGTGAATACCCGAACATCAAACGACCGCATCGAACCGAGGAAAGAGTGTCGCTCGCGTGTGTACAGTTCCGAATCGAACTACCCAACGAAAACAGGAAGACAGTGTATCCGGAAACGCGCAGCACGTGTTCGTGCGTCGCGGAAATCCGCGGGAGGGACCGGAACCAGCGAACGTCGCGGTGTGCTCTGCGAAAATCGAAGCTCGGGGAATCGAAACGTTCACCGATGATCGTCGACGGCTCGCCGGTCTCTTGTTCGGTCTCAACAATAAGCATCGATTCGATTTGAATCGTTGATCACCAAGCTACCAAGGAATAAAGAGAGCAAAGGAGAATCGCGGAGGTGGAAGAGAACTAAGCGAGAAACACGAGATGTCCACGCAGGCCTATTACAGGGACAGGCTCGGCTTCGATCCGGTCGACGCCGTCGCCGAGCTTCACCGGGAGCAGGGCTCGCAGCGAGGATACGAGGAGTCCCTGTCCAAGTTCAAAGGTCAGAGCGAACACGGATTTACCTGGTGGACGATGGAACGCCAGGATAACTGGCGCGCGAACGGCCCCGACCCAGAACATCGGTCCGGCAGCTCGCAGGGTTTCTGGGGTTGCTGGGCGATGTTCATCGAGGCGCACGGTAGGTGAAGAGTTGGCATGCCGATGCTGGACCGAGTCCAAATACACCTTGCCCGTGACCCTCTGTCTTTTTACCTCAGCCCCCCCTCCCAACCTTCCACGAACAGATTTTTAGATTTCTCTGATCCGAGATATTCTTCCTCGTCGATCTTCATCTCGTGTTCTTTATCTCTCCACGTGTCTCTGTTCATTGTTACCTCACCGACTTCACTCTTCCCCTTCCATCATCGAGAGATTTTTAGATTCGATCCGAGAGACTCTTCCTCGTTGATCGAATTCTGTTTTCTGCCTTTTTCTTTCCCCGTTTTTCTGTTCGCTGTTACCTCATTCACCTCTGCTCCATTTCCACGAAGAGATCTTTCTGATCCGAGATCATTCCTCGTTGGTTTTCACACTTTTTCTATCTTTTTTCTTTTGTTTTTCTCTTTTTCTTTTTCTTTTTCTTTTTCTTTCTTTCTTTTTCTCTGTTCATTTTTGTCACGCGATAGAGCACACGCTTCAGCTTCATTTTTATAGTTGATCCCCCGTTTTCGGACGACACGCGAGACGAGGTGCGGAGATTTGTGTTCGGGGTGTCGTGTAACCGGGAGAAGGAGGTTTTCATGGTTATGTGGGAGTTGATTTATTTTTGGTGTTCCCGTTGTTGTGGGAAGGGGTTCGAGAGATTCAATTGGGATGGCTTGTCCGTTGACCGCGATAACGTTGCACGGTTGGCTTCGACGATTGTACATAGATCGGGAATTTCGTCCTTTTGTATTATTCAATATTTACACGGAATATTAATACAGCTTACCATTGATCGATCTATCAAGATTCGTTAATACCACGTTCAAAGTTTCACCTTCCAGTACGGGAAGAGCGTTTCGATTCTAATTTCTACACCGTAACGCAATGAAACTTCGCGTGAACATTTCCAGTCCACTTACAAAGCTGCCCGGCAAAAGAACGTAACAAAAACTTTCACGAAATTTCATTATTCCTCGGAATACACGGTGCATAGTAACCTAGCTAAAGCATTCGCGCGTCGAATTTCTGTTTCTCGCCAACGTACGAGTTCGTTTCTCCCGAAAAGTATAATATACTCGCTTCTTAGACGAGATATAATAGTGAAATAGTCTTGCTTCCACTTAGACGCAAAGAAAACTAACTCTGTAAACAATCGAGGAATACATTGGAAACTAGATTCGTCTGAAATTCAGCTGTGGAAATCTAATTCGTGATTGCCGCGACGTTGAATTCCAAGGGGTTGAAACCGTGTTCGATCGACAGTTACACGACACTCGACACTCGACACTGGACGCGCGCGGGTTCACCGAACGACCCTTCTCGTCCCTGTTTTCCCGGTGGCCGGCTCCGAAACCGAATGGAAGAGCGCAGACGCGCGCATCGCATTCTGTTCCGTGAGAAGAGGCCCACGGAAAAGAGGAACACCGGAGGATCGCTCGTATCTGGCCGACGCGAGAGAGCACCGCGAGCGGAAGTAGCTTTTTAAGGTCGTTTACCTTTTGCCGTTCGACCCGAATCCACCTCGCGGAAACGGAGTCGCGTCCCGGAAACGACCCCGCGTCGATCGGGCTCGAAGAGGAATTTTTTTTTCACGAATACGCTCGATCACACCGTTCGGGAACACCGCGAATTCCGTTGATCGCGTTCGCCTCGCGCGCCCGGAATTCTTTTGTACACGGATTTTTGGTTTCTTTTTAACATCCACTAACGTTTTGAAGTGTCTTTGTGTGCCTAATACCGCGGACCGTCGAGGCTTCACCGCAGTACGCTCTGTTTACACACGGTTCGATCATCGTTTGCGTTCGATCTCTCGCTTCTGCGAAACGTCCGACGTGTTTTACGGTGACAAGTTTCTCTTTCTCCCTCCCCTGGTTTTTTTTCTCTCTTTTTTCTTTTGTCGTTTGATTTCTGTGCTCGTTCACACTCGGACGACGAATACCCCTCGCTCGTGAAACGACGGTTGCTTCCTTGTTCCGCGTGTTTTCGTTTTCCACTTCGTTCTCACGCGTCTCAAACACGTTCGCTGCGCGTGCCGATTAGCGGGAACGCGAATCAGTTGTGTCGCGTATACTTATGTTGTAAATACTCTCTAAGAATCTTAGTTTCAATGCAATTTTGCTGTTTGTTCCACGAAATTAGTAGCACGGATCCAATACATCCGAATGTATTGACGTAATCCGTAGGAATACAGTTCCTTGTATTCCCTGTAAATATACAATGTTGCATTAACGACAACGGAAACGATACATTTTTCTGTTGCAATATTTTGAAGGGTATCCATGCTTTCTATTTATAGTAACTTAGTCGAGCGCGTTAACGATCAAACGTTTGAAAACTCGGAAAATGGCGTGGGCCGTTTTTTCCGATGAACGGCGCGCGCAACGTCGGTCGAAGGTGAAACAGCGAACGTGTTAGTCTCCGCGATTCCATTATCGTTTCTCCATGATCGCGCGTCGACAATAAACAATCGTGTCGATCGAGCGTCCACCTTGTCACGAGTGTCTGAAAAAGTTTCTGTCATTTTCTCCTTCCTCCTCGACGCCGCGGTCTTCTTCTCTCCGCTCGCTCCTCTGGTTATCACTCCGAAATTCCAAGCGCCCGAGTGTCCTCGTTGTCCCAATTTATCTCCATTACATGTTTCGGTATGCCACTCTTCCGAGTCGTCGCCGGTCGTCGTCCACGATCACCGCGTCGAATATTTCCGTCGAGCCGACTCGATCGAATCTCGCGCGCCTTTATATTTTCGCTCGTCGAACCGGCCAATTAACCTTTAGTCTTTCAGCCGATTTTTCTGGCCTATCAACTCCGAGCAATTTTTATAGCGCCCTAGGCGAACATTAGGAAATAACGTGTCTTAGATTAATAGAATAACATTGGACACCTTAGAGTAATGAAACAACGTTCCTTAGATTTGTTTATTTTATATTACTCTCCTAAAGACAACATTCGCGTAGCAAACGCAATCAGCGTAGGATAGTTCTTTTTTAGTTACACCGAAGAACACGTGTTCGCATTAACGTTAATGTTATGTATTCAATGTTAATGGCGATACACGTGGTGTCCCCAGTTTCTTTCTCGTAAAATGGAGACAGTACACCGTAGTGGTAAGATTGTAGAAATAACGTCCTTAATGTAGGCTATTAAAGGCTTCGTTAAAGGTAACTGGTTTGTTTTAGAAACGCGCGAGGTGCTGATGGGATAGTTGTTAGTGATTTTTAGAGAACGATTGAATAACCCTTAGAGTATGCGTAGCGAGACACGGCTGGATACTTGGCTTATTTAAAAGTAACCAGCGTTGTAGCCGGGACTTTCTATTCGGTCTTAAACTATCGAGCGGTTGCGCAATGCATAGTTAAACATAGTTAAACATAGGCTCTTATTTTTTTCTCTCTCCACAATGGCTAAATTAGACACGTATTCTCCTCTTTGCACGCAAACGTCAAGTGTTTTACTTGTAAAATTAACGTTGCCTACACTCCTCGGTTTATTTGTTCGAAATACTACCGGAAAGACCGAATGATTTCCTCGAGTTATCGTCTTGATTCCAAGGTATCCGATAAAATGAATAGGCAATTCAATCGCGAACGTTTAAATAAATAATATCCTCGTGAACAAAAGTGAAATTACGAACGGTCATGGAATGATCCAAAGTGTAGGGGTTAAAATTTCGTACTTTCTCCCCGACAATTGATACAAATCACATTTCACTAGAAAGTTCATGAAGATTTTTACGTGATGGTGAATCGAAATGATAATTACCAACCGCATATCCGCCGTTAGATCATAGCTACGTGTCTGCGCGGATAAGTGCACCTCTAGGCTATATGATAACAGCCTTTGCCGAGCTAATGTTCAACGACAGCAACAGCAACAGTACTCTAAGGGTTAACAGTGATTATCTGGCAGTTCCTACGGCTATATCCTGCAATTTATTATAATTATCCCATCGGCGTAATTACTCTTGCCACTTTCGAATCGAAGAAAATTGATTAAACGCGAAGGAATTTGATTTATATCGAAACGAATGAATATTTCCTACAAGTTACCCATGGTTTAACGAAGATCAATTAATCTTGATATAGATTCGCCCTTAGATTAGTTTACTTAGTTCCATAAGACCTTATCAAAGACAGACCTCATAGAAATAGGAAACCTTAGGTTTCCCTTACGATATTTTTAAACCGAAGAAGGCTAATTAACTAGATGCGAGTGTCACAACGAAACAGAAGAAACGAGCAGTTACCAAGATAAGTGACTCGTTAGTTCAATCTGTCTGCGCCGAAATAAAAATCTCGACGCGTCGAAAGACGAGTGAACCCAGCAGCTTTCGGTTAAGCCTAATATAGATTTGTCCTTCTCGTTCGGCGACGTCGCCGGCCCGTTAACATCGTATGACCGGGGCCCATTGTTCGAAACGTCGCGGCGACGGCGAGCGAGTTCACGTAACGAGTACATAACTCGGTCGTCTCGGTTTCGACTCCGTTCATTGACGGTGTACATCTCCTAGATGGAATCGGTTAATCGGCCGTAATTAATTGCCGCCCGCTTCGGGGAACGAGCGCCTCCTACTCGATCAATTTTGATCGGTGTGTCGTCGAACTTGATACAGTTGAACCTCGATAACTTTGAAATGAACGACGCCGAAATGTCTTCGTCCCCATTTAAATGATTTGACTCGCGTTCAGTACGTAGGGGAATGTAGCCTAATTTTAATTGCCACCTAAATTGAATCGTATACCCGTCAGCGTGGGAATACAGTTTCATATCGTTTAGCAAGTGCACTGAAATCAGTTGTACGATGAGTAATAATTTTAGTACGACGCAGTTGTTATCTCGACTTATTTTTAACATCTAAGCGCCGAATTATTCGCTTGAAAATTCGATGATCTATCACTCGAAGATCTCGTGTCTTCTCTCGCGATTCTATTGATCGAGGTTCGACTGTATCTTCGGCTTACATCGGCGTCTATCAACGTAATCCTTCCAGCTAGACGATTGTGCGATTGCTAAATCTGATCAGAAAGCGAGGATACTTCGTGATCGATCATTGCTACGGAACTTCGGGCTTTTGCGTATTGAACAGTTCAGCGTTATTGTGATCGTAGCTATAGTGAATTAATATTTATGAAGCTATGGATATCATTATAGTATCTGTAGTATTATTATATTATTAACTGATATTATATATCATTGACAGCAAGATATTCGAAGATCGTTGGTTTCGGATGCGAAAGTATAATAATAATCACACTTCATCAACGCGTTGAACGCCGGCCGATTTCACAGAACAAGATGCATAAAACACAGAATATCAAATTACCCAATCGAATGGCATTACGATTACACGATTATCTTGTCAAATGCCGCTCATTCGATAGCATAATTTACAATACAGAAATGCCATCGAACAGCCGTCACTCAATCAAGCGAATTAGGTAAAAATTTCACCGGTAACCATGGTGTACGTGTCAATCGCGTTGCAGTATCAGCATTTCGTCCAAGAATTCGAACAAATGCATCGAACGCGTATCAAAATAAACAGCTAAAGCGGAACGGTAGGAATTGCGTGTTTATTCGAGAAAGTAAACAATTATCGAGAAAATATTCGTATTATCTGTTATTCGGAGCCACTCAGTCGTAGACGTGGAAGAGAACAGTGACAGATAGAGAGAGCCCGCTGTCAATTAATCGAAACTCCCCGCGATTATTCGAAGTTTCAGCGCACGGGTTCCCGCTTGTCCGCCTGATCGACTGCTTCCTTTACCCACCTGGAGCCCGCGTCCCACGTATCAACACCCAACGCTGCCTACCCATCTACCTACTTACCTACCTATCCCAAACCACCTACCTGTCCGTCTGTCTGCCCGTCTATCCGGCTGCTTGACTGCCTGCCTGCCTGCCTGGCTGCCTGACGCTGCCTGACGCCCGATTGCCAGCTCGGCCACCGCGTAGGCGATCCCCTAGCAATTCGCGTCGATCGTCGCCATCTTCGATGTACATGCGATTCAATTTCAACCCCTTGCCTCCCGATGTTGCGTCAGGCTCGTGGCCGAACATTTCGGATACAGTTTGCACCCCTTTAGTTAGCGACATCGCCTTGAATCGATATCAATGAAATGCGAATCGGACGACTAGAATAAATTGGATATAATAATTGTCACCTATTTTTCTGTTTCACAGTTACAATAGCGTTCGTTATGAAGATGTTTGCTTTTGTTAAAAATTATAAGTTAACGTACTTTGTGGGAATAAATGTATTTTTCAAGCGAATCGCGAGGCAAGGAGTTGATTACCGTTTTACGTTCGGTCCGTCCCTTTTTACGGGAGGGTATTGAAATTTTCGCTTGAAACGCGCCCGATCGGCGAAGTTTGTCTAACCGATTGCCACCTTTTCTGATTGCAGACGAACGAGACGCGATCCAAAAGAAAACATTTACCAAATGGGTGAACAAGCATCTGAAAAAGGTAAGACGCCGCCGGTGCAGCGAGAACAGGGATTCTAACCGTAGCCCGTGTCAGTTTCGGTTCTCATAGAAATTTATCTTAGGTACTCGCGTTGAAAGGGTTGATTAATCATTCTTTCGTCTATACTGTCATCCTGGTTCGATGACATAGATTCTTTGGTATTTTATTTTATTCTGTTACGAGTCGCGAAAGAATGATTAATCTCGCTTTATGAATTCTACTTTAATAACTTGTTTCCAACCCTCTCGTGACCCAGTGTAACTGGGTTAACCCCTCTGGGTCTCTCAGAATTTATTACAGCAACCATCCTCTCGGTATCCTATTTGCGAATGGTTCGGATCTCCACATAAAAACGTCACCGAACGACTGAAACGGCGACAGTCTCGGGTGCCATAGATCGATCGAGCGCACACCCTTGTATTTTTCATTCTCGAATTAACGGAGACCAACCCTAGAGCTTCGGTATAGTCCATCATTTTTAAACGATGTCTAGCTGTTATAGGAGACGCCTGTTCTACGAAGTCGATTTCATTTGCGCGTTTGTACTCGTTTCATATTAAAAGGAACTTTAGACTCATTCCTACACAATTATCGGAACTAACGATGCTCTAGAAAATCGGTTCTTTACATCATTCGAGAATATTCGTTGATTCTTATGAATCGAAGTCTGAAGTACGAGACGAAAAGGATACCATGTATCGATCTCTCGTTATTTCGAATAATTAATCTTAAACAATAGACTGTACTCGTGTCTATGTATTACGTTAGGTATCTCAATTCAGCAATCCTTCGTCGGAACAAATCGAAAAGTTTCCTCGAAACCCATTGCTCTCAATAGCTTATCTAAGAACTAGGGGTGCAACCACAACTCACCTGGCCAAACGAACTACGGTGTAGTTCCTCGAAGGCTGTGCGGCCCTTCCTTCGAACTATCGAGCGATCCTAATTTTAGACCGACCTTAGACAGGCCGGTAGGCCACGGTTCGCGGACTAGAACCGAGAACCAAGCCTCTAACCGACGCAAGGAGAGAGTATCGGAACACCTGATAGGTGTGAGCCGCCGGCGAGAGCCAGCGACGCGCAACGCTCGGGACAACCAGCTGTTTCGTAACCATGCACGCGGCTGTCCGCACACGTACAGGGTGTCCCACGCAATTGGGACAAGCTGTCTTCCGATCGGTTACAAATAGAAATCAAATGCTATTAGAATCGATTCCTTCGAATTCTCCTATAGGAACTCCAAGATCGTAGTTGAGACTTCGTTCGATCGATTAATCAACTTTAGTAATTTCTCGGGCAGCTTCTGTTGTCCTAACAATTACAGAAGAATTGAAACAAATGAATTTGATCCATTTGGTAATTCTAGTGATAAATGGTATCGATATTTCAGGTTATACTTCATTGAGGTTACAATAAAATTTCGTTCTATCTACAGCTTGTCCAAGTTGCAAGGAACACCCTGTACAGGGTGTTCCAGAAACATGCTTCGCTGTGCACACACGTGGGTGTGTGTCACTGGGCGTTCGTATTCGAGTTTTTCCGCACACCGAAACGTAGGCAGCGCGTGGGTACCGACGGCGTGCGTTTTCTGTGTTCCTCGCTCCCTGTCGTGGCAGGGGACAGAGAGAATTATTTCATGTGAGGCTATAGAAGGCAACGCGACGAGGAAATCGAGTGGGTGAGAATCGAGGAAATCGACACGATCGGTGTTGACCAGCCCGCAACTTGTTTCGCGCGGCTGTTTTCCGAGGAGGAAGCGTGCATGGATGTTTGCGGATACGTTAACTAACGAACAATTCTCTGATAGCTGGATTTTTGGATTATGTTTGCGTGGAGATTATTGTTAGAGAAGTTAACGAGCGTTTCTGGATTTTCATGCATAGTTTAGCGTCGAAGAAGTTTGAATTTATAGATTCTCGTGTCCAATGTTCGCGTTCCGTTCATTCAACGTTAAATTACTTTGAACACCGTCTTCTCTCATTCCTTAATCCCGTTTGACAAACACCTCCAAGTCTCGTAACACGATTCTCATAAGATTGCGCAACGAAATGTCGATCGATACCCTTCGCACAATTAAGAATCTAATTCGGCCGAAAGCTGAATCATAGGAACCGTAGAATCGACTTAACTCCGCACCCTCGTTTCACAATTTAACCGACCCACCCTATCTCTCACCCTCTTTCTAAACTGTCTCCCCCGTCATTAACAGGGGCTAGAAGCTACCAATAAACGAGTTAGCGGGGAAGCTTTTAACGGTCGTTCCGCCTCCAGTTAAAGATCAAACGCCTAGCAATCTCCGCGTAATATCGCGATTGGCTGGCCGCGAGCTGTTCGAAGCGTCAGCTGGCTCGGTTTTCGGTTGCGTAGATCGATTAAAGAGATTCCGAGTATCGCAGCTACCGAAAGACCGACTCGAACAACCGTCGCCACTGTTCTTCGCGTTAACGAGCCGCGTGACGGTAAAAACGATGCCGTCGGCGATACGCCGGTGACTCGTTCGATGCCAGTGACGATTCAAACGCTGACGAAACTCGACCGTCTCCTTCTTTTTCACGTGTTTTTCTCTGTCGGGGAATAAAATGACGGAGAGAGGGAACATCGTCGACGTTGCAGACGATATGGCACGCGACTGAGAACAATTCTTGCAATTTGAGACACGTCAGCTTTGATCCTTGCCAGGAGAGATAGACTCGAACGTGTGTGTTATCTATGATCTGGGTCAAATCCAATTTCAAAAAGAACGCAGTTTCCCTTTAACAATATATAGCTGAATTATTGTAAAGCTGAATTATTTATCGATTGCTTAAATAATAGGAGAAACCGATCTCTTGCTGTTCGAATAATTAAATTATCTATTCGCGAAGTCAGTCAAACACTTGCGATTAATCAAACACTCGAAGTTAATCGAACGAAACTCGCGCACGAAAATAATCAGCTTCGCAATTGCTCGAGCCCGATTCTATCGTTACGATTCGTCCGAAAGATGTTCGATAACTCTCCGTCCATTTTCAGATATAGAAACGGATCGTCTAGGTCGATCGATCATCGCGGTCCGCTGTCTAAGAGACAGCTTGAAACAAAATACAGAACAGACGTTCGGGTTCGACGGTTCCCAATCGTGCACGGATAAATTCTCCGCGTGGCTTTCTCGTTACTCGTCAGTCGTGTATGCAGAGGAGCGAAGGCAGGAGAAAGGAGGGAGAGAAAGAGAGAAACGAGAGAAAGAGAAAGAGAGGGAGTAGTCGGAGGCTCGTAAGCGGATCGTAAGCGGCGCGAGCATAACTCGAATGGCATTTCGAGGGTTATCGAGGCTCATTTTCTTCCCGTGTTAGTCGCCACTTCGAGCCCGACTCGGGACGGCGCCTATCGAGACGGCATTACTCACCCTTTTACTCACGCTCCGCGTTCCATTACCTACCCTCGATCGCTCGGCACGATTTTCCGCTCGGAACTCTCGCCGGGAAACTTTCCACAAAGGAATAGTGGCATTCCTCACATTTTCCGCGGAACTTGATAAGGACATCGAGATACGCTTAAAATTCATTGCAGATATACTCTCGATGCTCCATTCTTGCATATCATCGATGTTCAGTTTACTCCTCTCGTTATCGAACATTTATTAACCGATTCGTCGTGATCCAATTCTTAGATTTTTATCGAATACATCTACGATGTTTCTATTACTAACATATATTGCTGTATTACTAAGATAGTAATTGATAAATCTTTCGAGATCACGCATAGTGATCACACGTTAACGTGCCGACTCTTCAGACGGAATCTCGGACGTGCATTTCGGAAATCTCCGAGCTTTTCCCCGAAAGAAATCGATTGGTCTCTATTCCTTCGAATTCCCTGTATCTTTCCCAACGCACACGCGAACGTTTGCGGAGCCGAGCCTCGAAAATTGGCCGGGCCTCTCCGGCAATGGATTCCAGGGTAATACAGCGAACGGTACTGCGTGTTTGCGCGTCGCTCGGTACTGGTTCTGCCACACGGCTGCCTACCTGCTCGATTCCGCTCGCACTCGCTCGCCCACCTTTCCTCTCGTAACTCTGACCTTATTCGGAAACGTTCTCCAGCGGACGACGTTCCCGATTTACCACCTCTTCGCCAGCCGACAAGTAGGTGGATACAAGTAGGCAGTTCGGCGTGCGGTGCCACACAGCCAGCTCAACCAGCCAGTCAGTCAGTCAGTCAGTCAGTCAGTCAGTCAGTCAGTCACTCAGTCAGTCAGTCACTCAGTCAGTCAGTCAGTCAGTCAGTCAGTCAGTCAGTCAGTCAGTCGGCCGGTCAGTCTTCTGAAGATGTTGCATAGAAGGGGAGGGAAAAAAACTCGAAGCGAGGATCGCTCAAGAGTGAGCGCATGCAGTTGGGCATGACGCATCGCTGGCATTGCGTAACTTCGCCGCCGCCAGGAAATGGTCCGCTGAAGTAACTTCTTCGTCCATGAATTCCACACTGTTGAATAAAGTGTCGGACGGGTGCCGAAGTACTTGCCGATTCGCTGGGAACACCGACAGCACCCCGACGTCAAAGGGAATTACAGTCTTAGAGAGATGTTGGAACAGCCTTTCAGAGACGACACCGAATTCTCGGTTCCTCGAGATGTCTTCGAGTTAATTCGTTCGTTTATACGGTTAATATCAGGTTAATTCGTCGATAATTCAGATTCTTCGATATTCTCGATCGTTGAGTGACGTGTGAAGTATATACTGGGAATTCACTGTTCCTTTAAGGCTTTGAGAGACATAATTGGATAATTCTCTGGAGGTTAATTGCTTCGGCGAATGGACGAAGCTGGCTATCTTCGAAACGCATCGTATTTACCGTTTCCGTAGCCAATAATAGACTTATTTCGGAATTCCTATAGCCTCGGCGCTAAAGCGTCCAACGCTTAATTTCCTTTACACTTGAACCAAGTTTCTTTGGTAATTCCCATCGAGTTAATCGCTTTACGAGCACACTTTAAGCTAGTCATTGTGTGCACAAGCCTAACGAGCCCGTGACGAATCGTTCTCGTCGCTGAGGTACAATCGGCTAATCAATTACCTGGCCGGGCAAAGCAATCCGGCATGTTCCAGGTAGCAATGACTCCGTTCCAAAATTAGCCGGCGAGCCCGGTTACCCAACCGCACGGTGGCCGGGTAAAAGCGATTGATCATAGGAAAGCCGTGTGCAGGACCCATTCACTTTTTCGACGCCCATTCACAACGGCCGGACAGCGAGCGGCCATTTCTGCGCTCGATCGATCATGGCGCCCGCCCCGAGCACGCTGCGCGCCGTTTCGTTTCGCGGTTTCGTTGATTTCGAGCTGGATCCTCGGTCGCTGTCCCTTGGCACGGGCGCAGACGCAAAAAACCGACGCGATCAATCGCGTATTCGATCTCTGTTTCTAGTCGATCGGGTTTTTACTTTCGTTCCGCTTCCCTTTCGATTGGGTCGCTGGAAGCCGGATAACATTAATCGGTCAGCTGCGCTGACCTCTGCGGAATACCTATCTAAATTCAATCTGCGTACAGCTTTCTCATAATAATTACTTATATTCTTTCATCGTCTCATTGCGTCTCAGTGTCCAAATGTTTTAAACGCCTTGAAATTTACGGATATATTTTAGCTTTCACTAACACTGCGATTTAGACGGCAAACGGTAATTACCTTCCCAGCGTGACGAGTATATTCGTCAGGCACAGCTAACCGATTAATGACTATCTTCTCAATTATGCGAGACGCGTCGTGAGATGAAGATTTGTCTGAGGTGTTTCATATGTTGCTTTTTTCTGTCCTGTCACGCTTACCGCAGCATTGGAAGTATGTGAAGGTATGGATCCGAATTGGCAGTTCGATCAACCGGGACGAGTGGTTTCGGGATTATATTTATTTTGTTCATAATGCGAACGAGAAGACTTTTCAGCGGGATATTCGATGGAAAGGGAATAAAAAGCTTTATTGTCCGAGAGGTGGATCTGGAGCGTAACGGAACTGAATGTTTATACAGTTTCTAGGTTTCGAAGATAAATGTCTGTAGATCCTTGTCAAATGCAATCATTTCCTTCTTGAGAAGTTTACGTATATTCAAAGTAGAATGAAAATTCGATGAAAGTCGATTGCAATAAGTATTTTATACCCTCTAAAGACAATCAAGATTCGTATCCTCGTCCAAGCGCTTTCCACACGCGTCTGTTTACAACCGCCGAAGATTCGCAGTATTCTCGCTCCAGATTCCACTCCCCTCGTATCGACACGCGATAAAAGAGCCGTGAATTGTTCGCGAAGTCGAAATTACCGCGGCCAGGTTTATTACACGCGATGTAAACCGGTCAAGGACCACTCGTCCACACGACCGATAGCAGTGGGGATCCTCTTCGGGGAAACTAGGATCAGCTGCAGCAAAGTGAGGCTTCAGCTATCGTCGAACAACATCTTTATGCAAAATAAACGTTTCTCAGAGGAATTTGAGCAGTCAAAAATTAACCTAATTTCTCGCCTCGAGAATCTTGCCAATGCGAACGTAATGATACTCGTAAATTCTTACATCTCTTTATTTCATACTCTATGCACTCATATGCGCATAAAAAATGCATAAAATCTGCATAGGTAAAGAATGCTGGGAATCTCGATGGACCCTCCGCTGCTATCGACCGCGTTATTAGAAAGAAAAGAAAATGGCGGCACGCGGAAAAAAGCAGATTATCCGCGTGGTCTCTGGATCCTTTCTCAATCGATGTTTTTTTCAGACTTACACGTGTCTGCACGTGTGCGTCCTTGTGAACAACCAGCCGTGCTGTTCCCCCACTGTAAGTCCACGGCAGGTGTCGCCTCGCGACCCGTTTTGCCGATCTTACCAGGAATTTTACGCATGCGACGAGAAACCAATGCGTTTGTTTGTGTCCCTGTTTGTCGATTCGCGTGCCCCTGTTCCTAGCAATCGCTTCCTGATCCTTGTTGTCCTTCGCACGGAGCGAGCGTGATCGTCGATCGCGGAAGAAAGATAGTAAGTTAACGAGACTTACCGAGTTCCGACTAACAGCCTCTTAAACAGCACAGATTTACAACTGATTTTTAATCGATCACCTATCGACAATGTTTCCTACTACATGAGATTCTAAACATTTCATACCTTCATTAGGTAATCGATCTTACACCAATTTCCAACCGTTCCAACTATCCATACTAAATCACAAGCCAATTCATTCATTGCACCTTTCAATAAATCGGTATTACGGAACGAATTGAACTCTGCACTCCGAACGCGCCGCAGAAAATCCTTTTCTTTCACAGTTCCCAGTCCCATTCGCGATCGCGTGCGGTCTGAGCGTTCTTTTTTCGCTCGCGAACGAAGGAAGCCGGCGTTATCGGCTCGGTAATTGCGCGATGGTCGCGGGACCAATTACTCGGTCACCTCGATAGGCCGCTTATCGCGACCGGCTGCGCGTTAAAAGTTTAACGGGGCAATCCGAGGGCCGTGGATTCCGTTGCGTTCGCACGTGACGCACCCGCGGTGGAGCACGTTTATTTTCGCGCGTCACGCGATTACCGGCCCGCTCCGAAATACCTGGCCTCTCGCCTCCTTTCTCGCCTCGCCGACTCCTCGACACCGGCTCCCCTTATGCCCTCTTTCACACCGGCTCCTCCGCGTGTCTGCACGCTTGTAGAATCGCGTCGCGCCGTTTCCAGTGTCCTTTGACATCCCTCGATGTTCTTGGGTTTGTTTCTGCTTACATGTGTTTGCTTGTGCGTGTGTCTTGCGCGTGTTGTCTTTGTTCGTAGAATCGGATCGCGTGTTGTCTGCCGTAGAATCCTTTGTTTTTATTTTCCGCGCTGTTGAACTTTTGTCCTTTCGTCGGTGAATGTTTGCGCGCACCCAGTGTGTCTCCTTGTTATTTTTGTTTACTCTAATCCTCAATTTTTGTTCATTACGTATTCAACAGTCGGACCGTGACACGTTGTTTCCAATATCCTTCTTTATTCCTATTTCCTTCGACTTAGAGCTTTTTCCTATTATACGTGTGTGTTCGTCTACTCAGTATCCTCTGGTTTCAATCAATTTTTCATTTTTCAATTTCTTTTCTTCGCACACTTGTACTATGTGTTCGTGTACCGAAATTGTCCTTTGTCGTTTTAACTCAGTTCTTAATCAATCCAACGTTTAATTTCTTCCCCTTAGCACAAGTACTGTATTTGAACATTGTTTCGCCAGCGTTTTGATTTAAAAGAGCAAGTCCTCTACGACGCTGACCGCGTCCAACACTCTTCTGATCCGTGAAATCGTTGTTGCAGGCCAGCAGACATGTCGGAGATTTGTTCGAGGACCTGCGGGACGGGCACAACCTCATTTCCTTGCTGGAGGTTCTCTCGGGCGAGCATCTCGTAAGTGTCCGCCACCCGCTCCTACGAGCGAGACAAAACGGCCGCGTGCACGCGGCATTCCGGTCACGCGGCGACGGAAAAGAACTTGGCACGATCGTTCCGCCTGAACCCTTCGATAATGGGAGGGCGGGGTGGTTCGTCGAGTTGGTTGCGCAATCGACGGGACGGCCGGGGTCTCGCCTGACCCGGATTAACGCGTCGACTGTCGCGGTGCTTCCAAATTACTCGAGAACAATTGCGATTCGTTGGACGACTGAAATCGAATAAAAATTGTTCGGTAACGACGTCGAATAAAAATGTTCAGTAGTACGAAGGGGTAGTTAATGAAGGTGGTTACTTAATAATTAATGCTTGTCATCTGCACTGCAGCAGTTATACGCAGAACGCCGCAGGCTTTCGTGACAGTCGACGCGTTAATAAATTCGACAGGATGGATTTAACGCTAGAACTAGCAAGCAGTTCGCACAGGATATTCGACAGGATTAATATCCGACGTTCCTGTCGATTGCCTGCCATTTCCGCTTGCCACGAGCTTGGTATAACGTTCCCTCGAAAACACAGCCTTGAACTAGAATGCGTTGTTCCGTGGCTTTTCTGTGGCAACTGCCACAACCTCTTTCTTTCCTCCGAAATTTCGGGAGCCAAGATCTTGATGATAATCCGGCAATTCGACGCAAAATTGTTTCGAAAATAGAAGACAAACGGTTGGAGAAATCCGCATCGGTCGCATGAAAGTTACTGCGGAATAACAGATTTTAGTTCAAGGCTGCGATTTCGAGAAAATTCATGTCACGCTTATGGTAAGTAGATATGGCGAGCAATAAGCGGACACGTCAGCTCGTAGCGCAATATAATACCTTGTGAAATTCAATTTAAGTTGAACATTTCAATGAAGATTGAATTGTTGACGAACCGATGAACATTATTCGAAGTTATGCTATTAAAATCTCGGTCCAGTACAAATGCCATATTCTTTTCCGTCTTGTTTCACTTCCTACCGAGGATCTCAACTGTTTAACTCGATATTGATGCAACTACAACCGCGCTTAACTGGATTTCCCATCCGTAAATAAATGATAATAATAATATCACGATTTTACGGCGGCCTTAAAAGGCAAACGTCCCTGTTCAGCCGTATATCGCTCCTCCTTTTATCTCTCTATAAATTTTCTTTGCTCGTCGGCGCATGGTACACAGCTTTACTATAACTAGACTGCGGTAGTCCATGCAAATGCGTACAGGCGCCAGGGGATCGCGGGGCGGGGAATCAAATTTCATTCCCCGTTCGTAAATAGTTTCAGCAAATTGAAACTAAAATGAAACTGTCTCGGAACATCGCTGAGAATCGCGGCTGCTCGATTAATATACAGCGAGAAGATTTCTGTGCGCCGTAAACGCGTCGAATCCTTTGCCGAGTTTCCGACACTAGAACCGCCGTACAAGTCGAAAATAATTGTATCCAATCTTCCTGTTTTGCGATTAATAATCTCCCTTGCATGCTACAGTGAGCGTCAATTTAAAAACCACTGAAATATCTAGTACATTACTTAGTGAACAAAATTTGCTAGAAACAATTCATTACAGGAGCTTAAAGGAATGTAACGAATTCGAAGAATTAAATTACAAAAAAGATTTCAAACTTTCGGAAATATAATCGATGGTTCTAGTGTTACAAACTAGAACGATGACAATATTAACGAGTTTCGATGATTTTAGCCGCGGGAGAGGGGTCGGATGCGTTTCCACATGCTGCAAAACGTGCAAATGGCCCTTGACTTCCTACGATACAAGAAGATCAAGCTGGTGAACATACGCGCCGAGGATATCGTCGACGGTAATCCGAAGCTCACCCTGGGATTGATATGGACCATCATACTGCACTTCCAGGTGAGTATTCGCACTTCGAAAGGAAAGTCACACGTTAAACGCAAACACGAAACAAAGAGAGATTGCACTCGCACGAAAATGCATACACAAAGGAACACAAGTATCTTGCTGCCTCGACGCGCTTATGTTTCGACAGAAATGGTTCGCCTTTCGAATCGCTCCTATAAATAAATCAATCAGTCAATAAATGAGCCATTCAATTATCAAAATAGTTCAGTCCACAGTGCCTGTACGAATACACAAACTTATTCGACAATCTCTCGCAAAAGCGTCGTAATTGAAATACTTGAAACGAACATTCCGAAACGAGTCGCTCCGACTCGTCCGATAATCCTTATCGTTAAACCGTTCAGAATCAGTGGCTTGCACCGTTGAATGGCTCAAGGTATCTACCAGATGCGATCTGTGAAATGTCCGATCCGCTGATCGGACTTCCTCGCATTTCCCCGATCTTCCGTGCGATCGGCGGCCGATCCGTCCGAGAATCTCCTCCGAGTAGTCCGCCGGGATTCCCCGCGAGGGGGGAAACGCGTAGAGGAATCACCGCGCAGGAATTCGCCCCGGCCACTCTCGTTTTTCTGCGAGAGTCTCGTTCCGATCGAAAGCGAGTCGGAGGGAAGCGAAACGGGAACGCGATCGAGATATCGCGATCGAAAGCCCCGGCTCGTCGACTCGTCGGTAGCACCCGCAAAAAACGCGGCCGACGGACACGTCGATAACGCAACCGCACAATGGGGACACTGTTGCGTTCCGCGACCCCCCGTTTTTCCCGACGCGAGACAACGATCGGGGTCTACCGAGCTTTCGGCGACGAACAAGCTTGCCCGTTGTCCAGGGTGCGGCGTAATCGGCTGCGATGAGAATGGCGGAGTCGCTCCTCTGCGTCGGGGAATGCAAATTTTCTGAATTGCAATCTTAATTAGTAGACTGCGGACTTTTATGCGCTTACGGGGAATTTCAGAGTATGCACAGCATTCGAATCGCAGGATTCCGGTTCAACATGGGCGAAGAACAGCGGAAGAACTTGCATTTTACTTTGACACGGTCAGGTCAGATAAATGCAAAAATTACATTAATTTTTCTTGCAATATTACTCTTCGAGAGAAATTATTTTCTATGGTAATCCTAGTTTTCCGATTATGTTTCTGGGAACTTGAATTCGCGTATAGATCCGCAGTTTACTGATTAGCGATCTTTGTTAGGTCTACACGAGTAAAGATCTAACAGTCGCAATTACGAGTTTGTATTTTACCGCGTAAGAGGCCTCGGGTCGATTCTTTGAAGAAAAAGTGAATCAGAAACACGTGAGGGACGTGGATTTCGAGGAAACCTATTACCAGGCTTAATTGGTTGCGCCTCCTTTCGTGAGCGAGGCGAGATCGATTCTCGGGTAATTCATATTTATTGGCTCCGATATCATCAATCTTAGTATATCTCGACGATACAGTTATTAGCGGTATCCGTGTAAAGGTACATAATGAATTCGCTATCAGGAAATAGCGATTCGATCGCAAATCAAAGTCCAGAATGCGCCTTCATCCGTGCAATAACTTTCGAATGAAAATTTCTTGTCGGGACGGAGGTTTCTCTGGATGTTAGGAGTATGGTCAAGTCTCCGTAAAACTTTTTCACCAAAGAATCGCCATGATCGCTATCTCATCGCTCATTGTTACTCTGTACCCTGTACCATCGCTCCGATCGCATCTATCTAATGATGTATTTTTTGTTTTGTTTCGCGCCGCAGAGCTGGCGACGCAAGGTAAGTTCCCTCTATTTTTATGCCGTAGTGCTTCCCAAAGATAACGAAAAGATAAAGAACGCGAGAAACGAAAGACAAAGAACGAAAGGGGAAAGAGAAACCTTGAGAAAATAATGTATTAGCAGTTGAAAACGATTGAAAATCGTGCCTCGTCGGTGTCCGATTGTCGCGGCTCGTATCTCTTTATCGACCGCGTGAATCGATCGGCACGGTAGATGGCGCCCGCGTGTAGATCGTGCACCGGTAACGATCTACCGGGCCACGCGCCGTAGCCCCCCGAAATGATCAACCGAATCGGGATGCGGCAAGCTTCGTGCGGCCGCCATTTGTACGCAAGACGCGTCGAGCGCGGGACCGGCTTGCGTTAAATCGTTGAACAGTAGAATCGAAGGGGATTACGTATTTAATATCTTGTTGTTTAGGCAGTCATATCATTTATTAGAGATTTGTTTACATAATTAAGTTACTTTTCATCGTCAGTACGGAGGCGTTCGTCCTCAGAGGGTAAATAAATGGGAGACACTCGTTTAAGTTGACGATTCTTCTGATTTCGATTTACAATAGGATCAAACGGGAACTAATGAATAGACTGATAAAATAGCGTACGCGAAACAGCGGTCAATTATACGGACACTAAAACCCGAGAAAGTGGACTTAATTGTTACATCCTGTTTAAAATTCGCAAGAATTCTTTTATCGTTCATAATTTATTAGAAGAGAAAGGACTTCGTATACTTTCACTGGTAAATCCTCGCTTACACCGAACACTGAATATTAAACATTGATAATAGAAAAATGTTACTACTTTCGACTGCGAGAGAATGAAAACATTCGTGCCTCGTTATGCCTTCATTAAAAACCGTCACGCGTCACGTTTAAATATTAGAAAGCAGAGGATTGTGGATTCATTTCGTTGCCGATCATATGGAAAATAAGTGCACTCCTTTGCGATATTCAGAGAATCACAACGAAAAACTAATACTTTGAATACAAATAGTACCTGTCCGTGCTTCCAGTAGACGCGATTCACAAATGCAATTACCGCTCATCAAAGATTCAAGACTGCCTATCTATTATCTTGTGCATTTTTCCAATCGACCGTTATTCGTCGATGAATTCTCTTCACAGAAGCGATCCATTGTGAATACAAATAGCAATCATCCAATATTCAAAATTACCTATTCTCTTCTTCATATTTCCAATCGAACGCTGCACGTCGATGAATTCTCCCGGCAAGCGCAATCCGTTGCGAATACAAATCGCAATCATCCAATATTCAAAATTACCTATTATCTTCTTATTGATTTTTCCGATCGAGCGCGATTCGTCGCCGCCGGTGACGACTGTCCTTCCGGCGCTCGGCAGACGTTACCGTTTATGGTATTTCGCTGGTGCACGCCGAGGCAAGGCGGAAGGTTGGCAGCCAGTCGAAACCACGCGACACCGCCGCGGTTGGATTCCGGGACGTGGGAGGAGGCTGACAAGATAGGGAGCCGGGTTGCCGGTATCGGCGACGGGTCTCGTGATTCCCGGTGTCGCGAGCCGCCCACCTTGCAATTATGATAATCGGGATCGGCCACGATCGAGCCTCGAATACAGAAACGCCAGTGACGCCACTGGGCAAGGTCGCCGGTGTCCGACCCGTTTGCTACCTTCCGGAGAACATGGCCGCCGATACGGAATTCTTTTCTGTATCAAACATTCTTCTCTATCTCTTGATTCATCGTCGTTTCAACGTGGGTTCCTTCGAGAGGAATCTTAAAATTCTCTTTGATATGATAATTGGATTCTTCTATTTATGCGGACTTGTGTTTCGACGCTTTGAGATTCTTGTCCGACCGTTGTTGGGATCGCGGAGATTCTATCGTAGGCAATTAATCTCACTTGTGGTTCTTTTGTGATTTCTAGAGGAGATTTTTATAATGGTTATTTAGTTGACTTAACTGGGATTTTAGGATTGAGAACGATCGGCTAAACAGCCGATTATGGAGTAAGAGTTACACGCGAGCGATTTCTAAACGATTCTTTTTTCTATCGCGCGATAGCGGCGATTCTTTTCATTCGACCAGAAGTTTCTCTGCTCCATTTATACTGTCTCGCTCGCGTTAGCCGTTGGAAGGATAGTCCAACACGACGATCATCTCTCGCGAATTTACGACGATGACGACGAGCCCTTGTCCAATCGAGCGACGCGCGGAATAATAATAAAACAGAGAAAAGGAAAAGGCATTGAGAAAGTCGCCGAGGGGACAGTCGAGTGCGCCTTTATGCATTTATGGAGTTTCGCAACTCGCGAGACGCGCGAAGATAAATATTTCATGGAAGCTTGACGGCGCAGCTCAATTTTAACCCTGCCGCGTTCTTCAGGTTCTTCGACCAAAGCAGGTTCTGGATTTTTCACTGTCTTCCATTCGGTTCCCCATTCTCTATTTGTCCCAGTCGCCATTCTTTCGAAGGGACTTTTGAATCTGAACAATATTATTGATTAATAATACAAAATTTTGCAGAGTTAACTTTGATTTCCCGTCGCTTTACGTTTAACATTTCGTTCCGAAGGATTCAGTTTGCAAGCCAAGCTAATTTTTATTCGTCGCTCCGGATTGTAATCGTATTTATTTCGCTCGCCCGAGTTTTTCTGCTCCACATTTTGCATAGGATGCTCACGCGATCAAACGAGATCCCCGGCGTGAAAACATCGTGACTGTGTGGGATGCTCGTATTGCGCGTCGTAGAAACAGGAACACGATAATTTCGTTAGCAAACGTAGACAACTGGAACCAGAACATTTTTCGGATAATCAGAGAGCAAACAGGGAAATGAGGTACACAGGAACTGTTTTGGTAAATGAACGAACGTAGCATCCACTAGCTTCTTCATTTGTTTCAAGAAGAATTTGCGTGTGATGTTCTTTGACTCACAAACGACGCAGTCTACTTCTTCATTCCATTTATAATTCATTGCGAACGCTGTAGTCGATGTTTGTAGTCGCGGATCGATTTTCTCCAAGGGTAAAGTCGCCGGGGGTGGAAACGTTAACCCTAGAGAAGCTAGACTCTTGCGAACACACATTATGGAAAATATCTCATTCGCCCAAGCTAGCATATTCTAAAAAAAAACATTGATCCCTCTCGTGTACTCAAGATTCGTATCAGTTTAATTCAAATGCATCATTATACGAGCAAAGTCGCGTTTTAAACGGAGAGTTCCGCGAGTAGATAACTCGTTTAGCATGTCCAGGGTT